TAATAATATTATTATAAGGAAATATTATTTTACGAATATTAAAGAACAGTAAAACCGCGTCATAAATGGCAATTTTCCTTGAAAAATGTGGAGCTGTTTAAAAAAAATAGCGCTTAAGCGCTACAGTATATACGAAATTTGAAGCACTTATTCACAGAAAAGTTTTGAGTTTTCGAAAAACTATTCTGAATTCATTTGAACCCATTAACGAGTGCTTTTAGCATTATTCGTTCGAAAAGTTTGAAAAAAAATTGGAGCCATTTTTCTGAAATGAGGGACTATTGAGCTAGTTTTGACAGAGCATGTGACAAGTGCATTTTACTCTATTCTTGAAAGAAATTAAAAGAAAAAAAATTGAGCTCTTTTTTGAGAAAATTTTGAAAAATGTCTCAGGGCATTCATGTAATGTATCCCCAAAAACTAATGAATGATTTTCAAAATTCCAGAGCTTTGACTTAGGCCAGATGGACAGGTTTTTATTCAATTTGGAAAAAATCCTTCGCATGGCTAAGACGCTAATGCTGTTCATACGGACGGACGGACAGAACTTTTGAAAAACAACACTACTTCGGTATCAAGGGACTCCAAAACGTGTATTTCCGTTAAAATATTAAAATCGATTTTCCGCAACATTAAATAACTTTCCTTATACCACGTATATTACTCCGTATATACGTACGTATACGGGAAATTAATAAGTAAAGAAAAATGAAATTATAACCTACATTAATTAATAAATGTAAATAATTTTATTGTTTTACAGTACGTTTACACTGTTCCCAGACGGCTTCGAGAGACTTTTCCCCAAATAGTGGACCTACCACAAAACAATACCCCAATTCGTCACGTTAAGAAATAGGGAAATCAATGATTGGACATATTAACAAAATAAAATATTTTATGACGCAATGTTACGAGGATCCTTTAAAAATGTCCAGACGGGCCTTGCCCCCCGTCCTGTAGCGCGCGCCTGAGCTACCGCCAAAGCGCAGGAGACAAAACGCAGCCAGGGAAGCGAACGGAAAAGCGGACGGGGCGGCATCAGCATCAGCAGCGGTTCCGCCCGCCCCGCCGGAGCTGGCGGCGATATGCGTATCTTATCGGAGGCCCGTCTATTGGCGTTCACGTAAAATGACAGCTGCTTCCACGCCATCACCCGCTGCCATTAGCGCCGCCATTAGCATCCCCGAACGGTTAGCGGCCATCGTTGCTCCCGGCTTTAAATTGTCGGAGTAGTGAAATGAGGCTTTCAAAGAAAAAGGGATTTTGGCATCTTGGTGGGCATCGGGCTTCTTGGATTTCATGGAGAGGGATTAGCTCTCTATATTCAAAATGGATTCCTAACAGACAAGAAATTGTAATGATATCCACTCGTACGTTTTGGTTGATACAGCTTGTTTTGTGTAAACAGCAGTATCATATTGCAGTCTGATATGAAAATATGAAATGTCAAATATGATTAACTCCGATCGCCTAAAATATATCGTAGTTATTTAAGCTATGAAGCTACAAAGTTAACCGACATGATTATCACTATTATTATTATTATTATTATTATTATTATTTAAATATCATTCATAGTACTGGATTACTCAGGCCTCTGGCACTTACACTGGCTTGTCTTAAGAATTTGCATTCCATAACATTCATTCGAATACTCAGAAATAACTTTTTCCAAAATAAACCTATTTGCTGTAGCCTTTCGCTCTATACATAATTGCATTCAATCAATAATTGCATTATTATGTTTAGTTAAAAACCCGCAGATTGATATAATTCTAATATTGATAATTTATTGTGAAAAAATGCTTTAGGATCGCTATATCAAATCGTTAAACAATGAAAGTGTATACATTAGCTTAATACTTCTCATATATCGCTTTAAATACATGCAATCCCCAATTCAGCATAAATTTAAAATATGTTCTCGGATGTATTCACATCCACTAGGAGGACTCCATACAAGGAGATACAAGGAGATACTTCAATAAAACACCTTATATTAGCTTCATTCATGGAATTGAAAATTAAACTTGGCTTAATAAATGGAATTCCTCTTCCTTTGAATTTTTTTAAAAATTTGACCTATTCACCAATTTTGACTGATTTGAAAAAAGACAATGTAAGTAGATTTATGTAGCAACTTTTATCTTTTGAGCAGCGCATGTTTTCCCTATGCGAGATATTAATTCTCGTGAATGTCACCCACGTCATCACGTGACAAGTTCAATTTAGATAAAACGTTTTTGTAAATATTAAAAAAATTGACAATGCAGATAAAATGTGTGAGGGAACGAACCTTAAGTGCAAATCATTTTCAACCCACGCGGGGATCAACGTCTGTTTGGGCTCTGATTATGATGCACGCTGATACACTAAGCGCCACGTGCACTTCTGCACTAAGCGCCACGTGCACCCACACTTCTGTTCGCCCCACGAGGGATTTGACACTGATGTCAATGTTACCAAAACATTCCAAAATCTGTAACCCGAACATTATTCAGGGATCCTGGGTTGGATTACCGGTCGGGGCGAACAGATCTGTATTGTCTAGGCTACCCGGGACGTGCCACTGACGTGGTGGCCAACGTTTCGGCCAGCGTATTGTGGTCTTCTTCAGAGCGTACTGCACCTGTATTGTGACCTTCTTCAACAGTACGCCCTGAAAAAGATGACTAAAAAACAAGATAACAGACGTTAATATAAAACTTAAGTTTTTTTAATTGCTCTTGTTAATGTTTTATTGCTAATGATATTTTTCTCAAATTTTTAAATTTGAACATCGATGTTTTAAAACATTGTATATAGAATATCTGGGGAGGAAACGTCGAAACTTCGAAAATAAGTTCTTAAGACAATTTTAAGCATATTTTGTCTAATAAACTCCTTAGATATTTAGAATGGTTAAACCGCATGAAACAAAACGTTGGTTTGAAAAAATACTTTATATGCAAATATTTACGTTGTAGAAGCATATAAACACTTCATAAATATATGAATTGTTTACTATTTACAAAAGAAATTAATACATATGTTCAGAAAGAAAAATGAACAAAGAATTAATAAAGCACCCAATTTACACAATTGGACTGATTTCTTTTATTTCTGTGTTATTTTTTGTTTCTGAACAAATACACTCATTTCTTTTGTAAATAATCTACAATGCAAATTTTGCCCGGAATGCATTTTTTTTCAAACCAACCTTTGAGTGCTCATTGTGGCTTAGTCATTCGGAATACTCAAGGGTTTTATAACACAAAATATGCTTAAAATTGTCTCAAGAGCTGAGTTTCGAGGTCTGGCCGTTTCCTCGCTACACTCCCCGTGGTGTCGGTGTTGTCGCGTCGCGCCCGCCGCTTCGCGTTTGTGTCACTGTCCGACATTCGCGTTCGAAGGATCGTTACCGCAAGGCGAGGAGCGTTCGCTGGCAGTGCTCTACTGCACTTTATCGAAATGTTGTTATCTTCAGTTCGAAACCCTCCGAAACAGCAAAGTTACCCACTTCCCGGTCTTTTCCAAATGTCAGATGTAAACAGATCAGTTGACATGCAGCAGAAATGTGAAGCAAGGTTTGCTTCACTAAATAAGTCTCTTTAGCTTATTTGGCGAAATATTAGAGTGATATTTTTGTTTATATCAGAGTAATGGAAAGCGTGGCACTACACGTATTTTTTACTACAATCGTACAAAATAATATTCATTTTTTGTTGATTTAAATGTGAAGATTGCGTGAATAAATTTTCTCGTTACTACATTCTATCTGCTATTGCTCTCTGAAGTAATCCTAAAGATAATGGAAATGTGTGTATAGACGCAAGCCTTATCGCACATTGCATGTGTGTGCCGACAGTTATCTATGTTTGCGGAGAAATAATCCTTTACACCTCCGGACGGAGAATTCCTTGGTGCGATTTTCTTTCAGGAAGAACTACGTCACAGAATCATGCACAAACAATCCCGAAATTAATTGAAACGCCGAGAAGAAAGTGTAAGGAGAACCGTTTAACACGCACTTACACAATAAAATGCACAAGAAACTGTTGTTTGGTGAGCACATATGTCAATCGCAGATCAACCTTCGCCTCCAAGCACAAACAGTCGCGATAGCCGCAGTGCCGCGCCGCTCCGCCAGCAGCCTGACTCCGCCTCTCGTTCCCCCCACAGTCGTGTAATACGACTCGGAGCTCTGAAGCCCCACCGCTCACGACAGCACCAATGGAGGGATGCGACATCGATGTCGACGTTTTCAAAACCTCGCTGTTTCTATACAAATTTCGATGTTTTGAACTGCATATATTTAAGATGTTTTTTATCATCGATATAATAAAGCATATATTTTTTAACATCGATGTTTTTACATTTTCTATATTTCATTGGTAAAATTCCCGTAATCACAATTTTTGTGTAAGTGAAAATATGAGGTAACGTTTGGCCCCACTGTCAGTTCATCAGTTCAAATAAGCGAACGTTGTTTGTACTAGGTTCAACGCGTAGATAATCTCTCGTTGGAGCTGAATGCGATGAGACCGTATTTCTTGCCTCCTTCGTATTTTGCACGTGGAGAGGCAGTCAACGCATCTGTTGCCGTGCCATCTCTCTTCTTCCTTTATTTCGGCCTCTGTTTTCGGCAAACTAAGGACTTTGAGATGTCACTGGGCGCTCAAGCTTAGATTTATCGACTGTTCACAACATTTTGTAATATTTATTTTTAGTTAAATATTAATTATAAATTAATAAACACGGCCACTGTCGAATTATATTTGGTTGCACACGAATTTTACGTGAAAGGTGGCTAAGCCATCTGTAAAACATCGACGTTTAAAATACAGCGATGATTTTTGTTCGGTGTGTTATTTACATCGATGTTTTAAGTTCGGACATCAATGTTTAGTAACGTCGATGTTATGTTATCGATTTCGCATCACTGCACCAAGACGAAGCGCGAGATTCGCCACCTTGCGGAACGCCTGTCAGCATGGGCGCGGGGCTGCCTCACCTACCTTTCTGCCAGAACGCCTTGGCGCACACCTCCAGGTCCTCGAAGACGACGCTCAGCCTCTGGTGCGGGGGCACGCGCGCGATGTTCATTTCCTCGCTTTGGCCGGACTTGCTGATTGACTTGGGCACGGAGAAGGCGGCTTCGGCTTCAGCGGCGGCGGCAGCGGCGGCGGCGGCGGCTGCGGCGACTGCGAAGTCGAAAGACGGAGGCGCCGAGAAATCAGCCGAGTCGCCCGAACACCGAGAGCCCGCTTCGGGACGAGCTTCAGCCGAGAACTGCGAACCCTGACCGGCGACTCTTGCACCCTCCCCCGGGGCCCCGCCCCCGCTGACCCCGAAGAACCTGCGCCTGGCCTCGTGGGCGTCGGCGCGGGTGAGCCCCAGCGGCTCAGACAGGCCACCGTCCCCCCTCCCGCCGGCCGGCGAAGGGGGCGGTGGCGCGTGTGCGAGCAGGGGTTGCTCAGCTCCCACACTATCGCCGGCTGGCCATTCGCCATACTGCATTATCCCTCCTCCTCCTGATCCTCCGCTGCCTGCGGATTCGCCAACCGGCCAGTCTGGTTTGGCTGAATGCAATGACCCGTCTTCAGCACGCAAGTCGACAGTCATCGTGCTGTTGTTTCCGAAGGGTCGGCGCGCCGTTTCGCGAGCGCGTTTGACACGCGAGACAGAACCGGCGGCAGACGGCTGGAAGAGCGCGGCGCGGCGGGGCCGGGCGAGCTGGCGCGGCGCTCGTGGCTGGTGCACGAGTGACGGCGAGTCTCGCAGCGCGGCGCGGGCGGCGGCGCGGCGGGCGGCCGGGCGGCGGCGCGGCGGCGGCGCGGGCTGGTGGGCGGCGCGGCGGCGGCTCAGCTGCGTGCTGTCAGAGCGTGCGTTCACTGCGCCGCGCTGTCTCAACTGTGAGGCGAGCGAGTCGAGTCGAGTCGAATCGAGTCGAGCGCGCGGGCGGAAGGCGGGCAGGCGCGCGGGTGGCGGCGCTGGGGACGCGGCGGTTGGTCCCCGAGACAGCACGTGCGCGGCCCCCCTCTGCGCCCATCCGCTTCGGGGTGGGTGGGTGGGCGGACGGCGAGGGACCCCCGCCCGCTCGGTGGGGCCTTTGCACGGCTTCGCGGAGGCCTGTTTTTCTTTTTTGTGCCGGGGATGCGAGGTTCAACCGGTTCTGGAACTTGTTGGCGCGCCGGCGACGACCTACCGCTACACGGAAAATGGTTCGTCCCTTCACGTGCAAGGACGCAATGTTGGCAGGTCTCCGAAAGAAACCATGGATATGATGGAATACTGTTACCTCGAATCACAAAATTCTGTTCTGCGATAGTTTCATACAGATCAAAGTTCTAAATTACGGGTGTGTAAGGTAAGCTAAGAACATTCTAGAGATAAATCATTTTATTTTTTGAAAATAAACAAGGTAATACTACTAAAGAATTAGAAACAAGAGTAAGTGATCCAGGAATGCTCCAGGAAAATAATAGTAAAATTTTGTCGGTCATATGCATCTTTAATTCTTGTTACCATGCAACCCTATAAGTTTGTTAAGTGCATTTGTACCTACCTGTAGGTTAAGAAATTTAAAATTCTTAGTAACAGGTTTTCACATCCCTAGTAACCTAAATAAACAACCGCCCATTCATCGCAAGTCAATATTGTTAGGAAAAAATGGCATGGTAATTTACCAGACAAATAGTAATCAAAAAACGCATTATTCGTATGCCTTCTCGTGCTTTAGATTTTCTCGCGAGGCTACCGCAGCCCCAAAATAAAGAAAACCATTTTTAAGAAAATTAATTGCACTGTAAGGTTTCAAAATAATGGGAAATCATTAGTGTAATAACAGAATCTAACTGTACAGATTGCTTAAGTAGCAACATATATGATCGTCATTAAAAGAATTTCATTCATATTATTTTCATTATTATCAGGCATCTGAGTCAACCGCTTCGTAGTCAAGTAAATTGACATTTTCTCCATGACCTGAAATTATATGTTGGACAAGGATCCACTACCACTTGCCGGCTAAGAAACCGACTTGCTCTCTCCAAAGATAACGACGGTCTGATCCGCAAAGAAGCAGTCAAAAAACACGCTAAACCGAAACAAATCTTACATGAACTTTTTCAAATAAATGAACTCTAATTTCGGGCAGCTTTTCAAAACAACGTTATAAATAGGAAATGTCTTTTCTGAATGCCTTGACAGTTTACATTTATTAGAGTAGCTTATGGGAGATGTTCTCGTACCTCGGACCAAATTCACTCGGACCACCAGTTAAGCATTCTTCATTTCGGGCAAAGGGCGTTTTTTGTCAAGAAAAAGTTATGTTGCTTAGGAAGATCTCCATAAAAAAATCTATAATGTTAATGTCATAATTACTATGAAAATTGAGTGAATTTTATATTTTGTATTTTCTGCTCCAATTTAAAGTGTATAACATAGTGTATAGTAAAGTGTATAACAAAGTGTGTAACTATTTTCAGCACCTCAGACTGTAATCTCCAAATAGCTACCCAACAACTTCAGAGAATAAGAGAAAAGTCCATATGATCTGCATATTTTAGCAAAGAAAACGAAACCCTTGGCATTACAGGGTAAAATGAAAGTAAAGTGCAAGGTCGTAAATAATGGTATCAGTGTTGAATAAGTAAGTAACTTCAAATACCTCAGCTGCCATATTGCACACTGTCATGTTATCAAAAAAGTTATATTCATATAAAAATTAAGAAATTTCAGAAAATGTGCGGAGCTCTTCGAAAGATTCTCAGGCAGAAAGCCTTACGGACACCCAACTGAAGTATGGCAGTACCAATGACAACCTGTGGATGTGAAAATTAGGTCTTCAGTAGAGCAGATTAGAAAAACTTGAAGGCATGTCTTAGACCTTTAGCGGGATCTTCAATACCAGACCATAGAGGAAACTCGGACATCAGAGGTGAATTAAAGATTTTCAAACATTTTTATTAAATTTATTATTCTGAATAGAAGACATGGTGCAGTTTAACAGCGCAAACATTTTCACAAGTTTTTTATGCTTACTATCTATTTAAGAAAAAACTAAATATCATTTCTTTAAACTATTTCTTAGGGAGAGGAAACGTACTGAGAACCTCTCAAAGACTCATCCAAATTTGCAAATCGTATGTAAAAATCGTGTTTGGGATAACTATTCTTCAACCTAACCAAAAAACAGACGTACTAAGAAAAAATCGGTATGATCATTTAATGAGAATGCCGGAAGATTGAATGCCAAAAATCCTCTACGACTACACTGCGAATGGGAGACGGAGTAGGGACAGACATTTAAGGCGATCATGATTACTCTTGAAGACGGTACGGGTCAATAGGCTCAATCCACGATAAATATGGTGATGATGATGATGATGATGATGATGATATTCTCTGATTTGCAATGACACAATTTCCCACTTTTCTTCAGCCCCCCATTAAAGAATTTTTCTCCGACACCATCAGTTTGTTGAAGAAAATTTATTATAATTTTTACAAACGCGAATAAATTCTACGGAAGGAAAAGTGGAAAATACACTTTTAAAATCATTCATCCGTCTGTGGTAAATGTTAGCGCCTAATCCTTACATACAATTTTCTCCAAAATTGATATTCTCAAATCGATATGAATGAACTCAGCCCTGGAAATTCCAGACGGATATTTTGATTTTGGGAAGTACTTTACATAAAGACTATCACGTTAAAACATTTTCTCAAAAAGACTTCAAACTATATGTTTAAACTTTGTTTTTAGATAACTTAAGAAAGCTTAAAAAATACGTAAGATTAATTTTCGATGAAATCTCTGAATTTCCAAAATCACAAAAGTTCAAACTTTTTCGACGTTTTGATACTGCTACATTATTGAAGGCAGAGATGTTTTTCATAACGAAACTTGTTGTTCCAAGAGATCTTGAAATAAGATCATTCCTTTTCTGAAAATCCTGATCATTTCCTTCTCTGAAATAAGATATCCTTTTTCGGAAATGTGAGTAGTTTCTGCGTATTTTGCATGATGATTGATTGATTGACCGGCGCATCAACAGTTAAGGTAATTAGTCCCGTAAGTGAAGTGCACTTTTATCCTCGGGAGACGGCAGTGATCTTCCCCCGCTGTATGGTGAGATTCGGCGCCAACCTACAGGCGACTAGACTGGTTTTCTTCAACCAGGTAATTCCCGCCAGCGAGCCAGAGCAAGCTCTAAGCTCTAGACCGGTCTCCCGGCATGTGTGATAGTGTAGTGCATGCTAGTGTAACTGTGTGTAAGTGTGAGGATAGAACAATGAAGAGGAAGAAAAGATCGCGCGCGGCCGTAGTCCCTTTCGTAGGGTACTGCTCCAGCATACGCTTGATATTGATCGGAGAAATCAACCGATCAGAGCCGCTAGTATTCTACAGGCAGCGACTAAGTTCGACCTAGCTCTCTAACTAGTGACGAAAATCCTGCCACCGTCGGGACTCAAACCTAGGACCTCCCGGTCAGAGGCGTTGTACGAGACATCAATTGATGCCCTGACCTAACTCTCCCTGTTATTTTGCCGGAATTATAGGCGATTTGAACACAATTATTTTCTCAAAAACTGCTTCACATTTTTTCTTTCCATGGACAGAGAGAAGGACGCTTAAAAAGGCGCAGGTGTAATTTTGGAAACGTTGGAAATAATGCGAAAAAATATGTCCTGTTGTATCACCACTAGTGTTTTGTAATTAAGGGTGATAACCACATAAATTCATAGCTGGCCTTACGCTGCAGTTCGCAACAATACGCTTGCTCTTCTTGAAATTCACGTTGTATTCGGACTTATACAACTGCCTGTGTATTCCATTCACCCTGGGAATACTGAGGTTTGCATCTTCCTAGCAAACACGATTCCGACAAGGCTGCAGCGACGAGGAGGTGCCACGTTTTTCATTACAAACAACGATTGTTCAGCGCCTGCAAAGTACTAGAATCACATTCATGCTTTCAGGGAAATCCAGGATATTTAAACGCGTGATTACTATAATTATTCCAAAAACGTGTGTCTTTCCAAGAAGTAATTAAAATAAAATTACATCATTAATGAAACATGCAGAAACAGATGAATTCACTAGTGACCTTGTGAAACTAGACAGTAATGTCTCTTCCGTATTGTTCAATGCCTTAGAACGACATATGATTGAAAAAGCAATGTGACAGTGCAAAACATGTTGTAGAGGATTAGAGTTAGTATATTTAGATGACCTCATGATATATTTGTAGATTATTTTTTCCCGTTAATTAAGCACACCACTTAACTTCACAAACTATTAATTATTGGAACATATTTTAATGTTGACTGTACACTCTAAAGAAGAAATCAAGCGGGAACGAAATGTAATGACGACAATGACTCTTCTGACAATCTTTATTTTATTTATTTATAACACTGATTTTCAATGTGTTAATACATAATAAGTAAAAACTTAATAAAAATATAATAATGAGGCGTAGTAAATAAAAACAGAAAGTATGGGTACATTTTCTTTCCCTTACTCCATTTGTAAAGAGGGATGATAAGCGTTTAATTTCAAAATGTCGTTAAACCTAATCAAGAAGATTCCTTGAATGAGGTTCACTCATTCTACA